CGCCTTCCGCCTGCCCGCGCCGCCCATCGGGGGCGCCCTGCTTTTCGCCCTGCGGTACCGCGTGACCGGCCACGAGTTTTGGGACAACAACGGCGGCCGTGACTATGCTCTTCGTGGGCCGGAGCACCCGGGCGTTAGCGGAGCCCCGGAACCCCAGGGCTGGATTCACTTTATCTGAGACTACTGCGGCCGACGGCGGCAGGCGCAAAAGGCGCTGGAGGGCCGGGACAGCCCGAAGATGTGGCGGGGAGGAATGGGAGAAACCGAGACTGGCAGGGACTGCCCAAGAAAGCCAAGTGGTGGAGGGAGAAACCAAAGGGGTATGGGAGTGGGCGGAATCAAAAAAAGCCGGGGATGTTGGGGTGGCAAACACTGGTGGGAATGAGTGGAAGGAGCCCGCAGCATAGACAGGAGACCGAAAGGGCGCCAGAAGATGAGGGAAAACGCAAAATAATGGCGGTGATGACATTCTCTTCCACGAGAGGGTCCCCCAGGCCGAGGCAGTGAGGTTAGGGTACCTCTTTGAGGCAGAGGTATTTTTGTGTGAAGTAGCTACCAGATTGAATGGCTCATTCCCTCTGGCGATGCCACCTCAAGTCCACCAGCTCTGCCTGTCCTAGCTTTAGGCCTGCCATAACTGCCCTGCTTAGGCCCCAGGAACTTGCATTATGACAGGATTCCCTTGTCTCCTCTCCTGGACCCCAGGCAGCCCTGTGGATTGAAATGAAGGCAAAGCCAACGCCAGGTTTCTTGTAGCCAAATAATACTGTGTCTAAGGGGGTTGCTACACTCAGGGGATTCCAGAAAAGTGCCAGCTTTACTTTTCTGGGGTGCCTTTTAATGACCTCTTAAGCACTTTATGGATTGTATTTATTATTTATCAAGAGACAGTGAATCAGGGAAATATTCTTTCTGCCTAAGAAGGAAGAATCACTGACTAGCTGTATAACTTGGGGCAATTTAGTTTGCCTTTTGGACCCCAGTTTCCTCTTTGGGAAGTTGGAATTCGAAGAGGTGACCTTCGGACATTTTGTGGTCTGTGAGTGGTAGCATGTTGAGGAGAAGCCATGTTTTCCAACCTACAGTTGGAATGAAGTAGTTCAGAACACACAGCACCTCCTGCTCCCCCAGCATCTGGTTGGGGCTGAGTTTTTGACTCTGAAGCGCCAAAGCCCAGGAAGCATCCCATAACAAGCATGCAGCCTCAAAATCTTTACTCCAGGACTTCTTTCAAACCACAGCTTATCTTCTGTGCCTTGCTTTTTGTTCTTGCCCCACAGCCTGTTTGAGGTGAGATATCTTTGAGGAAGTGCATCTCTGTTGGGGGAAATGGCCTTTGGGAGCCCCAAAGATAAACAGAGGTAATGTTGGGGATATCTTGAGGATAAAGGATAAAGTACAAGAAGTGGAGAACCTCTCAAGAATCAAAGCAACCTGAAAATTAGATGGCACCAGAAGATGGCATTCTGCTTAGCCTGAGCAAATGAAATGAGAAAGCTGGACTCCTACTCATTCACATTCAAGCCTTACAGTGCTCTCAGTTAACCTGAACGTGAGAGTTACTTATCTGCTGGTTGTCTGATTTTCCTGTGCTCTTGCCCTATTCATAAGCTCTTTGCTTTCTCTTTCCTTGTCCATCTCATTACTTTCATCATTTTTCTTTAAGCATCTAGGGTATTTACCTTCATTTTCTCTATTTCCATTTGCCTCACTCTTCATCCTTGTTGATCTCTCCTATTCCTTCTCCCTTCAGAAGGGCTGGAGAAACTACTTCCTTTCCTCCAAGACCATGGTTGAGCCACCTTCCTCTCTCAGGCTCCTTGACAGTCTTCTAGAAGGGAGAAGAGGGAAAAGAAGCAGATCCTGATGCTGCAGATGAACAAGGAGCTCCCAGGTAACCAGCTCCCCACACCCTTTTCTATCTGCTGTCAGTTTCTCAAAGAATAATATGTGGATTCCCCTCTTCCTTTCCACTAAATGAGAGAATGTGTGCACCCACACATGCATTCAAAATTGCACATAGGGCGTGTTACCATGCCCCTCCTCTCCAAAGCCTTAATCCTTTGAAGAAAGGTGACTGAAAAGAACATGGAGTCATTCTGCAAATGACCAAATAACTAAACACCATCCTTACCTGTCGAAGAAAACAGAATTTCATACAGCTTGTGCATCACTGTCAAGTCAGTTCCAGCAGAGTGAAGAAATACTGGAAACCACCAAGCACTGCACTTTTTATTCAAGAGCCCAAGAGAGAATAATGAAAGGAAAAATAGGTTGAGGTTCTGTGTGTAATAATTTCTTGCCTAATGGGTATGTTACTGCTGCTACGCTGTTTTAAGAATAGTGATAGCTCACGCTTATTAACATTTGGCACCTTATTGTCCTATGAATTGAATAATGTACTTGCCATTTTAGACGTAAGGAAACAGAAAAGCTTAGGAATTTATTATCGTAATAGCAGGTTAACATCAGAGCTAGGATGGGGAACCCAGGATCTTCAGGGCCTCTACTCTGTTCTATCTTTTTCATCTAAATGTACGATTTAAAACCTTGCTATATGTCATCTATTACCAGGAAAAGACTAGATTCTAATTGTGCTCTGCCTTCCTATCCTCCCAGTCTCCGGATCTGGCTGGAGAAAGCAAGCACTGGGGGTCCCGAGCTTCATCTGCTTCTCCCAGGAGCTTGCTGCTGTCTCCTGCCAGTGTCCCAGCTCTGCAGGATCAGCAGGGGACCACAAACCTGCCTGCTTGAGAACACATTTCAGGGTCAACCTTTCTATACACTGGGATGTTCTGGGCACAGCCATCCCTCCACAGCTGTCAATGCATTGTGTGTGCCTCTTCCCACTCCCCCCACAGACTTTGAACAGGCCAGCTCCCTAAGATTTTTGCTGGCACCTAAAATAGGACAATTGCTGGATGCTCTGTGTTTGGCCATCCCTGGGAGCCCTAGTATTGAGTGGGTCAGTGTAAACTGGTTGAGGGAACCAGTGATAATCCCCTGTGCCCTGCTTTTTCCTTGTAAGTGCCATGGCTCACCATGACCACATTCTCAGCTTTGTAGAACGAGCATGAATCTTCTGGTTCTTCCTCTGTAGAGCTCTGGGGGCAAACTAAGTCTGATATGCATGGGAAACACTGAGTTTGGTGGAAGCTTTAGAGATGTGCTAGGCATGATGGTGGGGACTTTCTTCTTCAGGCTGATGATTACGTATAGCGGTTTGAGAAAAAAATGTAAGGCACACCCTGGGAGAAACTATAATTACCATGGTCAATAGCTTAAGTCCTTGAAGCAACACAGGAACGCTTTCATCCATACCGCAGATGTCTTCCACCACTTACTGTCTCAGGCTTAATCTTGTTCCTTTGTTTCGCTTTAACTGTAGCTCATTCTCTTCATAATGAGCCCTCACACCTGCTTTTCCCATTTTAACTACACATTCCCTTGTTTTGAGCATCAGTGTTTCTGTGGCACTCCTCTGGATCCTCTCACTCTGCAGATTATATAGTAGAGTCAGAAACCTGCTGACCAGGCTTGTCTTTGAGATCACTGAATCTGGGCTCCTCTACATGAGAGGTGCAGAGATGTGAAGTGACTTCAGCAGGGTCAGAAAGTCTGCTAGTGCTGCTTGAGGTAGAGCTCATTCCCAGGCTGTGGAACAGGCCTCTATCCAGTGAGATCCAATACCATCAGGAATGTTTCATTTCTGCAACTAGTTTCCATTCCACACCCCCACCCCCAACCCCACCCAGCCATTCTGGCATAAAGAGAGACAAAAGGGACTGGTTGGGTTTTTTGTTGTTGTTTTTAATGTGTCCTCTGCCTTGCACTTTGGGTTATCTTATTAAAGAACAGTGACTTTCATTAAAAGACCAACTGAATAGCTAACCTGGGGAGGAAATCAAAGTTTGCTATGTGAACCCCAAAAGACCACTGTACCATCAGGGAATACCCCCTTCACAGTGCAGCCCTATCACTGGGAACAAACTCACTGTGCCTAACTTCAGCTTCTTCATATGGCTGCCCTTCCTTCTTGATGAAAGATCTCATACATGTATTTGAAATAAAGCTGAAACATAAATGAATAAAGTATATTGTAAGATACTGGACAGTATTGTTTGTTTGGGATTGAGGGTGGAAAGAGACCCAAAGGCAAGATGTTACACAACCCACTTTTTCTTGGTTATTTCATTTCTTAAAGCTTTTATTTCCTGTCTGCTGGGATCTTCTGGCTATACAAAAGTTGGGTAGGAAGGTTTTTCCAGGTGGCACAACAGGTTAAAGTGTAGCACTACTACAGTCACTTCAACACAAGTTTCAATCCCCTGCCAGAGAGGTGACCCACATGGCACAGCAGACCCTCTTTCTCACCTGCTGCTCCCCTCAGCAGTATACCTCGTCAATCTGCCCATTCTGTTCCCCACTCTGGTGAATCCTCTCAACTGCCCCCACCCCCGCACCTCTGGCATGCACCCCAGTTCTGTATGCATAAATAAATCTTTGAAGGAAAAAAAAAAAAGATACTCAGGTAAAAGTGTCAAATACACACAAAAATGATTTTTAAAAAATTTGGGTAGGCAAAGACACAAAACACTAATTCAAAAAGATACCTGCTTTATTTACAATTGGAAAGACATGGAAGCAGCCCCAATGCCCAAAAGTGGATGACTGGATTAAAAAGATGTGGTACATAGATAAAATGGAATATTTCTCAGCAACCAAAAAAGAGAAACACATGTCTTTTGCAGCAGCTTGGATGGAGCTGGAAAAGATCATGCTTAGTGAGATAAGCCAGAAAGAGAAAGAAAAATACCAGATGGTTTCACTCATAGCAGGAGTATAATGGACCAGGCGAGAAAATAACAAAAATAATTAACAACCATATACCAGAGACATTTTGTGGGGTGGAGTGGGGAATGGGATCAAAAATGGGGGGGTGGGGAGGGAAGTGCACGGGATTATGGTGATGGCACACGGGGGACATGGTGAAACCTGTGGGGATTACAATTGAGATGGGGAAAAAAAATGTACAAAATGATGTAAAAAATAAACTGTTATAAAAAAAATTTTTAAAAAATTTGTGGTACATATACACAATGGAATATTACTCAGCAACCAAAAAAAATAAACACATGCCTTTTGCAGCACCATGGATGGAGCTGGAAAAGAGCATGCTTAATGAAATAAGCCAGAAAGAAAAGGGGAAATACCAGATGGTTTCACTCATAGCAGGAGTATAACGGAACAGGTGAGAAAATAATAATAATGAACAGCTGTATACCAGAGACATTTTATGGGGGTGAAGTGGGGGATGGGATAAAAAATGGGGGAGGAAAATGCACTGGACTATGGTGATGGCACATGGGTGATTTGGTGATAGAAAGCCCAAGGGGATTACAACTGAGATGGAAACAGGCACAAAATGATGTAAAAATAAACTATTATTTAAAAAAACAAACCTTGGGATATTGCCAAAAAAAAAAAAAAAAGGGGGGGGGGGAGTAGAAAGGCCTGTAGATACTGGGCAGTCCTGGTGTAAGACATGGCAACAGAAACCCACCATTTTGGGTAGTGATAGGAAAGAAAGCTACAAGGACCCAGCGTTGCTCCCTGGATCCCAGCACCAGCTAACTGGTGCAGTTAAGATAACATGTTGGATAATATCTTACTTCTTTTTGTTGGGAGTGACCAAATGCAGAGATTTACTGAGGGACTGGATAAGGGCAATAATAAATCAGGCCTTGCATCCAAAGGTGATAAGGTGGTAATAAATTGGGCCTTGCATCTAATTAACGGGTACTTGCGTAGGGATGGGACTAGATGAAGGTGGTAACGAACTGGGCCTTACATCAAGGACACAGTGATGAGTCACCCCTTTGAAATCTGAGCTTAGGACCTATATAGGAGACCCTTCCCCCTTATTGAGTTGGCAGTAGCTGCAGACCCCACTCTAGGGGCTCCGTCTCAGCTGCTGTGCCGGAGCAATAAACTCTGCTTGCTCAGCCTTTCTGCCTCCTGCCTTCCTTTCTTGCGGCCGGTCACAGAAGTTGGGACAAAACACTTTTGGGTGCCATCTAACTTAGAGTCTACTCCTTAAGCACCAGAGGAGTAAAGTTCTTAGCCCTATCAAGGGCAACCCTAAAAATAAAGGTAAGTATGCTAGGAAAAAAGAAGGGCCCCTGGTCTAATCCAGAATGGAGCAATTAAAATAGATACTAAAGGAAGGCATTGTCAAAAAAGGCCAAGTGCTAACATTATATTGACTTCTCATCTCACCTGAATGATAAACGAATCCAATTATCCTCAAAGTAATGCAAGACATTCCTAATAGGAAAGTACTAGCCAGGAATAATCAGGTGGCTCCACATTACATCATAATGGCCAAGCTGTGATGTCACTGCAGAGTACCCACTCAGTATGTGTTGTAATGGAACCAGATCTGCTGAAGAGTAGAGTCAGTATGAGGAACAGACACCCACAAAGGGGTAAGTCGGCATTTCCAGGAGGTCTCTCCATGGCATATGATCTGTGACCCTAATGTCTTTCCAGAGTTTTTACATCTCTGTCAAGTGGCAGATTTATCAGAAATCTTTTTCCACCAACTCCTTCATTTTAGCCTGTATTATCCCAAATCCTCGATATATGCTGTTTTGATTCGTCAGCCCTCAGCTCTGGAATTTCTCAGGAGACAGGGCATGGAACACTGGAGCAGGGTTCCCCTAAATTTGGGCAGAAACTTAACCATATCTGGTAAGTCCCAAGGGTAGACATAAGATTCTAGGGTGCGTGAAACCTATAACTTTAGAGTCCTTTTTTAGGAAAAATAATTGACACAAAGGTGAACATGTTAGCATGAGGTTTATAGTGGTTTTTTTTTTTCAGATGTATTTATTCATACAGAACAGGGGTACAGGCTAGAGGTGCAGGGGGGTGAGAGGTTTCACCAGAGACACAGTGGGCAGCAGAATAGGCAGATCAAGGAAGTACACTGCTGAGGGGAGCAGCAGGCAGGTCAAGAGAGGTCTGCCTCACCATGTGGATCACCACTGAGGTCCGGGATCAAACTCACACTGAAGCAGCCGTGGCTCACTTGCAGTGCCACGCTTTAACCCACTGTACCACCAGGGAGGGCCTGAGATTTACAGTTTTTCAGAGGCTGAAAATATGACAATACCACAAAATAATTATATTAAAAGTGATCTACTTGAAAATACCAACCTGGCAACCATTTCCTAAAATTTTGGTTTTGGATACATGCTCTTGAATAACATTTTCATATGATTGTTTTTATAAAGTAAGAATAGGTAATTCAGTCTTCTAGCATAATTACTTTTTAAAAATTTGCTTATTTAGAGAAGTTTTGTGATACTTTGTAAATTATAATGCCACATAATTTTGGAGAGGGGAATAAAAGATTTTTTTCATACATGTGATAAAAGACTTTGGAACATTTCAAATTTGTAGTGACTAATGGCATAGACTCTAAATTATTAACATTAAGGAGTATATCTGAAGCTGTAACTATTGGTTTATTAGGACTGCCAAAACAACTATAGAAATTTATTCTCTCATAATTTTAGAATCTAGGAGTCAAAAGTGTCAGCAGGTTGATTTCATTTTGAGACTCCTGTCTACTGGTCTTATAGATAGGTATCTTCTCCCTATGTCTTCACATGATCTTTCCTATGAGCATGTCTGTGTCCAAATTTCTTCTTATAGGGCCCTCCCTGGTGGCACAAGGGATTAAAGCACAGCTCTTTGAAGCTATCTGAAGCCACTGGAGCACAAATTCGGTCCCCAGCCTGGGAGCTGACCCACATGGTGCAGCAGACCTCTCCTGTCCCGCCCACTGCTCCCCTCAACAATGTATTTCAGTGGATATAGACAGATCCCCACTCTGTCTCTATTGAATCCTCACCCCCTGCACCTCTGGCCTGTACCCCAGTTCTTGTATGTATAAATAAATAAATCTTTAAAAAACAACAACAAAATTCCTCTTATAAAGACACTAGTCTTGGTAATACTGAATTTGGACTCAATCTAAAGCTCTCATTCTAACTATGACCTCTTTAAAAGACCTTATCCTCAAATTTATTCTGAGGCATTGAGGAAGTTAGGACTTCAGGAATTTGGAGGGAGAGGGGGATTACAGTTTAGCCCTTAACAGTATGTCTACTATTTATTCATAGAAGCAACTGCAAATTATAGACGGAACTACTGAACCCAAATTAAATGTACTCCTCAATTTCCTTAGTAATTCCTAATGTCTCCACTGCCAACTGATGAGGGAAAATCAGAAAGGAAAGAGACCACAATCTAAGTCAATTACAATGTAAATTTTTTTTCTTCTTCAAAGTTTACAAAAATATATGACCACATCAGGCCCCATTGCTAATGTTTTTCCAATGCTTTGGAACGGTCTGTGTAAAGGAAGGCCTGAAAGTCCTATAGTTTTGTTAACTATAGGGTAAATGTGCCTCTAGTCAGCCCTGCTATTAATTGAGCCATGCAAAGAAAGTTTTCTCTGAAGATGGAGGATTAACATCTTTACCTTGAGGATAACATGATGAGTGTCCTATTCTTTAGCAATAGTCCCTGGAAGAATTGGGAGGGTGATTCTGCTAAAGGAGGGAAACTCCCTTCTCTGATATTGACAAGCTGAACCTATTCTACTCCCTGCAGCCCTGACCACTCCACCTTTGAAAGCCACAGGTAAAACCCACATAAAAGAGGGAGGCTTCAGCCTGAACTCTATAACTGGGGCAGAGAAATTTCTTCTCTCTTTGGATTCTCTCTCTCCTAAATCTGTCTTCAGTTCCTCCCCACTCCTCACTCTTGAGAGCACCTCTATGAAACAAGAAAGGTGGTTATCTTTCATAATTCTGATGCTCAGAGTGGCTGTGTCCTCCAAGAACAGGCACTAAGTTTCCATGGATAGTTCCTTCTTCTTTCCAAACTCAGTTTGAGTTCTTCCCAGTCAATCCAGTCTCCTTTGGCTCATGAGAGGATGACCTTTCCACTGAAAATAGGGGTACTGCTGCCTAAACAACTTCATTCTTCTTTCATTATATAATAGCAACTGGGGGCATAGTAATAGTCACGATTAGGGAGAAGGTGTGTATATACCACTAGCCCTGGCTTTAACTCCAAGGGATCAGATATTTTAAAGCAGAGTACTATGTCTTGGTTGCTTACTCTCCTATGTTTTTGCAAAATACTCCTTTGGAGCGGGCAGAGACTAGCTCTTAGTTGAAATTGTATTGAGAGGAAGGAGGTGGCAGGGGCAAATCTGGGCAAAAGAAAATAGGGCTCAGAGCTGAGGTAGATCTCTTTCTGATGTCTGGTAGCAGCCCTGAAAGAGGTTGACCTTAAACTAGGGCAATCAAGAATCAGAATAGTTGTGGTGATTGCTTTGGAGAGAGGGGGTAGATGGGGAGGGGTGAGGAGTGTAGAATATAGGCTGGAAGTCTGAAATTATGTAATAAACTATTAATACCTGTGTACGGTATTAATTACCTAGGTAGACAAGAAGAGACTTTTTCAAAGACTAGCCTATGACAGAAGAGTAACTTCAAAAGGTGTATTTGTTCCCACGTTTTATAAGACTGAGAATGAATATGCAAACTTTTGGCCTATACTTCGGAGTGTATGGAATACCACTTTGCTTGAAAGCCATCTCTCTCAAGATTTTTTTTATGCATACAAGAACTGGAGTGTGTGTGGGGGGGGGGCGTGTTGAGAGGATTCACCAAAGAGTGGGGAACAGAACAGACTGATGAAGTACACTGCTGAAGGGAGCAGCAGGTGAGACAGGAGAGGTCTGCTGCACCATGTGGGTCAGCTCCCTGGCCAGGGATAGAACTCTTCTGCAGTGGCAGTGGCTGATAGCTTCACAGTGGTGCGCTTTAACCCACTGCGCCCCCAGGGAGGACCCTAAAGGACATCTCTTTTGGCAGCAAAAATAAAAGATCCCAAATACGACTTAGAGCTCCAGCTCCCCTTTACTAGGGGTGGGAGAGGGGTCTGGGGCCCTGCTAGGTTCCACAGAGGTCCTTTCTAGTGCTTCTTTTTTGGGCACTGTCCGGTACCAATTGGATCCAGGAAGCCGCGAGACTCCTAGGATCTTCTTCCTTCCGGTTGGCAAGACATTTGATCCACCTCGAGAACAAGTCCCTGATTGCTCTGGAAGCTGGTGACCGAGGTTGGGCCCTGGGCTGGCAGGGCGCGGCTCGTGCCTAAGCTGGCAAGGCAGAAAATGGTCTTCCTTCAAGAAGAAATAAATGGGAGTAGCTGCTGGTGGCCCGGACAGTTCAGGGAAAGGCTTAACTCCGGAATTCCGAGAGGAATCCGACTGGGCGTACTCAGAAGGTCCAGCGCCGATAGGTCGAAGGTTGGAGGTGGTACCTTTTACAGCACCATGGCCCTGGGGGACATCTTCCTTGCTTCACGCACCCAATAGTCTCTCCGCTGAGACTCAGGTAGCCAATAGCGAACTTCAATTGAGAAACACACAGCCAATAGCCGGCCCACTGCTTTCCGCTGGTGCCCGCCTACCTGCACTCTCACCAATCAGGACACGGGCCACCTTGGCACTGCCCTCTAGCGTCCGCCCCGCCTCCAACTCGCAGGAGCTGGGCTGGGCTAGACGGGCGCGCTCTCGGGGGCGGGAGGGGCAGTCCCGTGCCGGGCCGTCCGCGAGGGTGGGCTCGGAGCAGGCCGCACTGGGAAGCAACCCCACTCCCACCACGGAGGCCCCCTGGCCTTTCTCCCCCCTTACCTTCGGCCCATGGTGCGAGGCTGGGAGCCGCCGCCCGGGCAGGACAGCGGTGAGTGATCCCCAACCCCTTCGACTTCCCCTCCCAGCCCAATAAGCTCTCCGACCCCCCAAAGCCCCATCTTGGGAAGGGTGGGGGAGGAGAATTCTAGGTTTGAAGTCACCCGGTTCCCTCTTTTTTCTTGACTTTTCGGTTCCCCCTTGTAACTGGGGGAGGGTGAGTGGGTGTGTAGGGAGGACGGGAATGCTGGGTTGGGACGCCTTTGGAGAGGGGGAGGATGAGATTCGCCTGCTCCCTGGGGCTTATCGCCCCAAGTACTGCAACTTTTTGTTCTCTGATCCAGTTTGGAGCCTACTAGGCTGCCTTTGAAATGGAGGGTTAGGAGAAATATTCCTTCCCAGGTTCCCCTCCCTTCCCCACACGGGCCCCCCTACCACCTCACCCCCCACCCCCGACTACCTCCTGGTTACCTCAACACTCCATACAGAAAACGTCCAAGATTGCTGGGGGAGCAGTGGCCTTCGGGAATGAAAAAAGGTTTAATAGAAATGCCCTTTCTGACCCCCACCCCTATGCCCAGGCAGACTCAGAAAACCAGGAAAAGGAGTCCTCAGAGGTTCCTGGTGTTAACGACCTAATCTGAGACTTTTAAACTGAAAGAAAACTCAAACTGAGATCTGTTTGGTAATAAGGGCCTAGATCAGTAAATCTTTTTTATATGAACCCCCTCATCATAGATCTGAAACCCTTTTACATTATATTAGGATAGGTAGAGGACAGTAATTGAAAAATCCCAAATGCCAATTAAAGTTGGGAATTTAAACAATGATACATATCTCAGGTATTGTCATTGAAAGTACATTCATTTCACCAATCTTTTAAAGATTTATTTATGCGTACAGAACTGGAGTACAGGCCAGAGATGTAGGGGATGAGAGAATTAACCAGAGATAGACTGTGGAACAGAACAAGTGGATTGACTGAAATACACTGCTGAGGGGAGCAGCAGGGGAGACAGGTGAGGTCTGCCATACCATGTGGGTCACCCCCCTGGCCGGGGATCAAACTCATGCTGCAGTGGCTGTGATAGCTTCATGGTGCTGTGCTTTAACATGCTGCACCACCAGGGAGGGCCCCATTTCCCCAATCTTTTCCTGGTTGTGTAGCCAGGAGGAGGACAGAGATGTTTTCTTTGTGTAGGTCTGCTGATCGGAGTTCCCAATCACGTATGTGACACAAACTACACACATCAATCTCAAATCTGGCTGCACCCTGAGAACTTTTAAAGCTACTGATGCCTGGGTTGCAGTCCAGACTGATTAACTTTACAGTGAGGAAGAGGGTGCCCTGGTTTAAGTTTCACAGATATTATAATGTTCAGTCTAAGAGGAGAGCCGCTGCTTCTCATTATCTGTGACTTCCAGGTCTGGTTTATTTAACGTGGAGTGGGAATTTAAACATTACTGAAGCAGTCTGAATGCAGAGTAGTTTTGAAACTTTTAAGTGTTCTGGCCCTCCGATCTTCTACAGGTGTTAACTGCCTACTCCCAACTCAAGATGTACACTTCTTTGTATTATGTCTTTCAAAGCATTTAATTTTGTTTTCATTTCACTTTTAATGCACTCAATTGTTCACAGGTTTATGTGATGTTTAGTTAGATTATTCTATAAATAGAGAAAAACCAACAGTAAGCGATTTGGAATTACACAGAATTGACTCAAGCACACAGGGCACATGAAAAGGAAGCAGATGATTTGACCACAATAGAGAGTAGCCTGCCAGCCTCTAGTAAAGTAGTACCCAGTATTGTGGGTGTTAGTCCAGCTCAACACTCCCCGCTTCTTTTCCTAGCAGCCATGTTATCCATACTCAGTCTCTTGGAGATTTATGCAAAATCTATCATATCTGCCACCCACTTTTCCTTTCCATCCTTTCACATCAAATGTTTATTCCTCTAAGTGATTTGTTACCATCATTCCCTTTATTAAATTAGGAGGACAGAAGGCAGAGATTCTTAATCTGGATTTCTGGGCCATCAGTGAAATCATGTGATATTTTATGTGTAAGTTTGACTGTTTAGGGGCAGGGGGGAAAGGGAGTTTCTGAGAGTTTCATAACTTTGAACTCATTCTCAAAAAGGATATGTTCCCGAAAGTTAAGAAGCACACTAAACTTCCTTTAAGGTCCTTAAAACTATTACCAAGACTACTTCAGGCAGAACTTTAGTTCTTTGAATAAAGCCATAGGGAATTTAGCAGGATAACACCTAGTCTCTCAATTGAACTATTTCTGCTTTTACCACAAGCCTAAGTTCAAGCTTGAAGTTCCCTTTCCCTAGGACTATGTCCACAACTAGATGTTTAAGGCAGTCCATCCTTTGTGAGGTACCCATGGGTATGAAAAGCCCAAAGGGAAAGGAGGGTATTGTCCTATTTCTTACTAGTGGCTTTAAGTGGCAGTTGGATCTATCTGGCATATTTAATACAAGTTGAACATTTACTCTCAGAATTGACTCTACCAACATTTCTGTCCTAGAGCCCTCTTTTGATTGTTTCTACCCTCTCCAAAATGGAGGCACAAGAACACTATAGATATTAGGGTCTTCACTGTATTTTTTTGTTTACTGTAGGGTCTACCCTACTTGTTAAAGTTCTCAGGAGCCACTCTGTGCCTTCCTACAAATTCTTCCAAGGTACCAGCTATACAACTGTGCCTTAATTTAAATTACAATTCAATATCAAGAAATATTCTACAATTTGTATGTTATGTAGGGAATCTCTGGATGTATAGAGTACAACAAATATGTTCTTTGCCATATTACATGTTAGACTGAAAGGTTAAGCTGATGCCCTAAGTTAGCTGAAGGACAGCACATCACCTAAGTGAAAATGCCTCCTTGTAGGTATCATTTTCCATATGGTAAACCTCACACTGGACTGCCTATTTCTTATGCCACAAAAGTGTTGTCCTTAAAGAACAAGACATAAATAAGGTTACCTAGATGTCCAGTGTTGCAATTATAAAATTATTTTCCAGCTTAGATTTGGAGGTGTTCCCGGTGAGCCACAATTTCTAAATGGTGGTTTAGCACCTGGCTGCACAAATAGTCCCTTACAGGCCACTCAGCCTTGACTGGGATAAACTTTGAGGATAAGGCAGGGATACAACATTGGTAATTCACCTGGCAACCAAAAAATTTCTAGTGAAATCATGGACTCAGTTCTCCTAAAGCAGTGACTTTCATCCTTTTTTAAAATACAGCAAAATTCATTCTGGAATGATAGCTGACTCCCTAAATATAAAAAATATAAAAGCACAGATCCACTGGTTTCCTCTACTCAGAATCAGGATTCTGCAAAGTTATAAAATGGTGATTTTTAAAGGATTTGCTCTTTGCCTAATTTCCTCTTTTGAGCAGGAGCATCACCTTGCAGCAGAATCACCCCATGAAGCCGAAGTTATGCTAAAAGCTGCTATTTATTGAGCCTTTACTTTATTCTAGGCATTTTTCCATCTAGTCATTAATTTGCAAGGTAGGTGCTCTTAAAGCTTTTTCCCCTCCTGATGGGAAATTAGGGCACTCCCCAGGATAGGCTCACTCTTGGAAGTGATGTGGTCAATTCATCTCAAATCTGCCTCAACCCAGACCTCCACTCTTAACAGCTATACAGGCCTGCCTGTACACAGAAGGTATAAGCAAAATTACGAGTTTACATACACTTAGCACTGTCTGTATTTCTATACCTGAGGAAACCAGGCATCATAGAAGCTTGAGTACCTTTTGCCCAAGATCACACAGCTGATAAGTGGCACTGGGGAAGTGTGGGTTGGCCCTACTCAAGAATCTTATTTTTACCCACTCTGCCATGCTGCCTGAATTTACTCTCTTGAAGATCCTCCTCAAGTTGTATTGCCTTTATGCTCCCTCCTTAACATATCAAAAGTAGTGTCTCTAAACTGAGGATTCCTCTAACAGTAAAGGGTAACAGATGTGCTATTCTCTCGTGTCCACACAGGGAGCTGTTAAAATACAGTCTACAGAATGATTCTGGGAGATAACCTGAGCAGGTATTTCAGGAATGAAGCACGGTTTGGGGCTATCCCAGTTTGGGGCTATCCCGGAAATAACCCATAAATAACCCTGGGAGCTGCGGTGCTACTGGGCAGCTTGCAGGACCTGTTTACCATTTATAATAAGCCTGCCCACCCGGTCCTGAGAAGAAAGCAGGACAAAAGAGATAAGAGCTGCAGCCCTTCCCTGCCCTCAGTAAAGGGGGTTGAAGTCTAAGGGAGCTCTCTGGGTTTCCTGGAGAGAGACAGAGCCATTGGAAGAGACAAAGGCTGGGGGAGGGGATAACCATTGTTTGAGGATGACTTAGGGGAGAAAATCTCTCCTCCTTCCTCACCCTAAACCCTGGGGAGGTAAGCCCCATTCTCGGAGGTCTGACCTATCTCTCTCTCACTACTGGGAGACAGAAAAAATAAAGTTATCAGCTTGAGGCATAGAACTTAAGTGATATGTTCACCTCCCCCCAACACTTCACCCCCAAGAAAGAAAAGGGGGCTAGGCAGAGCAACACTGCTGTGTACCGTTTAGTCATCCACATTCTAGAGATTATCATAAATTTTTAGGAGATGAAGTATTTCTAACAGTTCTGAGATAATTGCTCCCCTAGTTTCTGTGGTTGAGGCTTCACTTATGACTCTTATTCCATGAACTTAAAGAGGGTGGAGTGAGTTGGAATTGGAAAAACAAAGGCTATATAAGGATGTTTTCTTCTTTCTTAACCTCTAAGACTCATCAGTCATGTGACTTGGGATAATTTAACTTCTTTGGACTTTGGTTTCCCCCATACATTCAATGGGAATTATAGCAGGTTCTGATGATTTCATAAATTTATGAAAAAGTTAAATTAAAAAGTACTAAAGCACTTTAAAAGCAATCCAGTACATACACATAGAAAGCTGTTTTGAAGTCCAACATTTTGTTTGGTAGAAATTGACCAGTGGCCCAAAAGAAGAGCCCCAGTGATTGAGCAGTTTCTCTTCTTATTACAGCTATCTCCGAAGGGCACAAATCAGGAAGCACCATGCCTCCTAATAAAGAGGCCAGCAGTCATAACAGCTCCCCTGTGGGGCTCATCTGCCTCCCTCCAATCTCTGAAGAGCTACAGCTTGTGTGGACCCAAGCAGCCCAGACCAGTGAGCTGGATAGCAATGAACACTTGCTACAAACTTTCAGCTATTTTCCCTACCCGAGTCTAGCAGACATTGCCCTTCTTTGCCTACGATACGGGCTGCAGATGGAGAAAGTCAAGACTTGGTTCATGGCTCAGCGCCTTCGCTGTGGCATCAGCTGGTCATCTGAAGAAATAGAAGAGACCCGAGCCCGAGTCGTCTATCATCGCGATCAACTCCACTTCAAATCCCTTCTCTCATTTACTCATCATGCAGGAAGGCCCCCAGAGGAGGTGCCTCCTTCTCCAGCGCCACCTCCAGAACAAACCGGTCATGGAATAGTGCCCCTGACTCTTAGCGAGCCTACCCAGATGAAAGCATTGAAGGCAGAGCCTGAGGAATCCTCTGAGTCACTGAGTCACCAGAAAGCAAAGAAGCCCCTGATGGCACCTGGCAGTGAGGCACTCCCAAGCCAATCAGATTTTTGGCAGGATCGTCAAAGAAGTGGCGTCTCTAAGAAGCAGGCAGGCAGGGGTCCCAACCAGTCACAGAGCCTAGGTACTGCTTCCTGGAACCACTCCCCACCTGTCCAGCAGCAGCATACTCGGGACAAGCCCCCACCAGTCTCATTACTTGCCAGTAGTTGTAAACAGGAGTCAGCAACTAAAGGGACTCCTCCTTCCTCTACCTCTTCCTCTTTCCAGATACTGGCTAATGGAGCTACTGTCACCTCTAAACCCCACCAACCACTAGGTTGTATCCCACAGCCACTGTCACCCAATGAACAGGCACTACCCCCACACATGGAGCCAGCCTGGCCGCAGGGGCTCAGGCATAATTCAGTACCAGCTAGGGCTGGCCCTGCAGAGTACCTGTCCCCAGATATGCAGCGCCAGCGCAAGACCAAGCGCAAAACCAAAGAGCAGCTGGCTATCCTTAAATCATTTTTTTTACAGTGCCAGTGGGCACGGCGTGAGGATTACCATAAATTAGAACAGATGACTGGTTTACCTCGGCCTGAGATTATTCAGTGGTTTGGTGACACACGCTATGCCTTGAAGCATGGGCAACTAAAATGGTTTCGGGACAACATAGTACCTGGTGCCCCTTGTTTTCAGGACCCAGCTATTACCACACCACTGCCTTCAACCCCATCCTTGATTGAATGGGCTGATACACCACCTCTGCCAAGCCCCCCACCCCCACCAGACATACGGCCCTTGGAGAGGTATTGGGCAGCCCACCAACAACTGCGGGAAAGTGACGTCCCTCAACTGAGTCAGGCATCAAGGCTTAGCACCCAGCAGGTACTGGATTGGTTTGACTCCCGATTACCTGAGCCAGCAGAGGTGGTGGTTTCTCTAGATGAAGATGAGGAAGAGGAGGAGGAGGAAGAACTGCCAGAAGATGATGAGGATGAAGAGGAGGAGGAGGAAGATGAGGAGGAGGAGGAGGATGTGATCATACAGGACTGAGTTGGGGGAAGGGGAGGGGAAGTCATGTTACTAAAGATGAACCAATTTAGTAACTTTAAACAAAGATACCACATTTTTAAAAATTACTTTGTGGCAAAAAACTGAAGAGCTTTGTGTTCTGGAAGTTGGGTTCAGGGATATAGTGAGGTTGGACCAGGGAGGATGTCCATAGGTCAAAGAGAAGAGGGAGTTTGGATGCGCAGAAACCCAGGCCTCTCCTCTAGCTTCAGTGAAGAGAGGGCCATGAATCTGCTCAAAGCTATGGACTGAGGAAAGGCTCCTGTTCTCCTATCTGCTGTTCTTTCTTGGTGTACTGTAGAGACCTGACCTTGGCCCTATATCTATAAAAGGATTGGAAAAGAGGAGTAAAGAATTTGGATTCAGTGACTGCAGTGCCTCCCCAGTCCCTCCCAGTCCCACCACTTCCCCTGGAATAGAAGGCTGCTTTGTATCACTTTCTTTGCTAGATGAAGGCCATGCTAGGAAATCAGCTAAGAATCTCAGTGTCCCAATCTCATCACAAATTTCCTCTTCTTTACACCAACTCAACGTTACATATTTTACCTGTGAGATTACTGAGTTGCCCACAGCAGAAGGTTTTCTGATACTGGGACCACTTTGCCTTGTACCATTTTATCTATTTCTGAAACCCCCACTCTGTACACTGTTTGTCTCAGGGTAAATCTTCCCCACGGAGCTTGTGAAAAAGTTTAATAATTGGGTGGAGAATAATTTGGATATTTATTGGAGGTGGGAATTAAGGGAGATGTCCTTTAAGAGTAAATTAGATAACAGAGGGATAGAGGAGAGGGAATGGTTTTTACTGTTCAGAAGGACAGTACAGATAGGTTCCAGGTTTGGTTTTACAAACCTGCCTAGCTTGAAAGAGACTGATATTTTCATTTTGGTGGTGTTTCAATTTGTGTCCAAAAAAAGAGACTTTTCTCTCGTTGTGGTCCTCTCTATAGGATCTATACTGGGACAGAGGGACCCGGGTCTTTACTGAGTTATTGCTGCTTTAGATGGTTTTATCAGTTGGGGTCAGATACAAAAATATCAATGGTTTAGCCACTTAGAAATAAAAGTGGAAACCCCAAGTTATTAGAATAATAAAAAAGCCAAAAATAAAATTGTTTCTCTTGTCCATTTTACCACTTCTATGGTTTAGAGATTAATGAAACCAAATTTGTTAACATTCTGGTTCGGTATACTTTATTTTCTTGAGAAGGCAGGATATATTCAAGTAAAAGGATAAAAATATTAAAAGGCAGTAGGTAAATATCAACAGGCTGTTTCCCAGCGATCAGACGGGAGTAATTAAAACTTCTGAGGCTTTATCAATAAGGAGTGACGATTGAGTCAGCAGTTTCAGATGTAACTGCCCCTGCTACAGCCCAGGCTCTTTCCAGGAAAGAAAAGGTGTCTAGAAATGCCTTTTAAAAGGAATTTAGACTACCAGGAAGGATAGTGGGATTCTCCAGTTCAGCTACAAGGTCATTCCCAATTTACTTCTAGTCAGATGTGTCTGCATTTTCCCAGTATTTTTGATTATGGCCCTGTCTGCCAGTGGGTCACCCATTTAATTCCTCATGGCTACCCCTATATACCTAAAGAAGAGACACTTGATCTAAGTAGTGTTTGCCCATTCCACCCATCTCAAGTTTCTAATGCCAACAGTGTTGTAGTGGCGGTGAAAGGGCATCCTCTATTGTACATCTGTAACATGAAAGTCTATTCCCAGCTGTTTAGACAGGAAGATGAACATTTCATAATAAGTAGGCACAGGAAACAATAGCCAAGCAGAAAAAGTATTATAAATTAGAACAAGAAACAGTTGTTGCTTAGTAACACTGGATAGCAAAAATATATCCATGGTTAAAAATTGATACCCAAAAATAAAACACAGTTAATGGGTATGTTGACCCCCCAATGATGTCAAAACGTTTTGACTTTCAAATTGTAGGAATCTATTCCATATATCTTGTGGAATAGATAGGCACATCCTGTAGCATTAGCCTTATATAAAACCTGCTTCTTTCCTAAGAGGTAATACAGAGTACCTATTTGGAAAAAAGATAAGGTACTGAGTGAAACCAGGAAACAAGGCAGGGGTACCTTTTCCATGACCATGGTTTCTGTGAGTACTGGATGCTACAGTCCATCTTTCAGCAGTGTGTATGAAGATGGTCTATCTGGGAGTGGTCCATCCTCTCCCCCTGGCTAGTCCCATCTGCCTCTGTTGGTAGAGAGTCTGCAGCAGAGGACAGGAAGGCAGTGTTTATAACAAAATGGCAAAGCCCTCTCAAGGCTTTCTATGTGAAGTGTATCTGGCAGTAAACAACCGTTGCTCCCTACAGTTTTTCACCATTGCATAATAACTTACAAACTGAAGTTTGAATGTTAATACATCTAGGGTAACAAAGGCTTTGTTGCTACTAATGAAACTTGCAGGAATATTCAGTTAATGTACTAGTAAGGCAGAATATTTGAAAATCAAGCTCTCTTGGAAGACTTGTTATATACAACCATCAAAACCAGAAATGACTAAGGGAAGCAGAATTCGTAATGCTTCTGGGGAGTTTCACTTTCTTCAATAATATTTTAAATTATTATTATAGGATTTTTTTTTTTAAAGTAGCATAATGAACTCAAACTTCAAAAAATAACAGTCAATTTTCTTTCTACTTTCATGGCTCCTTTGCACTTGGTTTCATTAAAGCAAAATACAACTGATTACTACTCATACATATTTTAGTATGTATTTTCAAAAGATAAAGACTTTTAAAAGGAGTAACTACAACAGCATCATGCCTACAAAAAACCTTTTCTATATTAACAAATGCTCAATATATTCAGTTTTCCCCACTCCTAAATTTTTTTTAAAGATAATGTATGCACACAAGAACTGGGGTATAGGCCAGAGGTATGTGTTTGGGGGGGGGGGGAGAGAATATACTGCTGAGGGGAGCAGTGGGCTTGTTAGATTTATTCATTTATGCATACAGAACTGGGGTACAGGCAGGGGATGAGAGGATTCACCAGAGACAGAGTGGGGAGCAGAATAGGCAGATGTACTGAAATACACTGCTGAGGGGAGCAGAGGGGAGTCTGCTGTGCCATGTGGGTCACCTCCCTAGCTGGGGATGGAACTCATGCTGCAGTGGCTGTGGATAGCTTCACAGGGCTGTGCTTTAGCCCACTGAGCCACTAGGGAGGGGCCCTCTCCTAAAGTTTTTTTGCAGTATGTCTCAAGGTCAGTTAGGGACCATCTATTTGTAGATGGTTTATATTTTTCTTAATTCTTTTATCTGTGGGTTAATCCACTTGTGAAGCTTTTAGGGGTGTTATTTCTCTAGTGTTGCCTAAAGAGTTAGGTCTTAATTTTTTGCTGATAAAGGGAATTTTGGAATCTGAGGGGATTGGCAGGAGCTTAGCATGGAAAAAGGGTGTAAATATCCCAAACCCAAGCTATAAAAGTTAAAAGGCAAGAGTAGACTTCTCATTTAATAGGGATCTTTATAAACCTCTCTCTTCTTTCCCATGCCCTTTTTCCTTGTCAAGATTAGATTCATAGTCCCATAAATTCACAAAACATTTTTCCAGCTATCTCTGGAGGATTACGTGTTTTTTTCTAGTTCAAACAGTAGTACTTCTACTCAAAAAATATATCCCACTAAAAGTGGTTTCTATGAGCCCAAATTTAAAACTTTTCACTACCATATGACCTAATTTTTAAACCTGGAAGCTAATCTGACCAAGTAATCGCTGAAATTGAGCCCATTCTGGAAGATTGTGAATATATGGTTACTAGACTTAAAACCTGTCATTTTCCACTTGTTACATCCTATGGCCTTAACTGCGGTAGGCTAACTGAATCTTATGCAAACAAGTTAGGGCTCACCTGTGTTACTGGTAGCTGGAAACCAGGAAGACTCTCTAGAGTGGTTCTGCCTTCCCTTTGACCTGTAAGATACAATGAAACAGTGAAAAAATACCTTCTTGGGAAGTTCCTCTGCAGTGTTACTGATGGAGCATGATAAATAGGAGTTTCTTAAGATGAACAGAAGGAAAAAAACTGTTAAATAAGGAACTCAAAATGGTAGGTTACAAAGTCTATCCTGAGGATGGGGTACTGATAGAGAAATCTGAGATTTGAATTTAACTGAGTAGAAAAAAGAAGTAATATAAAAATTTTGCTGAGCTATGGATAATGACAGACCTGTAAGCAAATATACTTGAAAACAGTGGGGAGGAAAAGAGTAGTTTTATCATTCTCACTAAAAATTGTGCTCTCAAAAACAAACTGTGCTCTCCCAGAAATGGTTATACACATTACAATTATTAAAAAAAAAAAAACTTGACACCCCAACTGAGTGCAATTTAAAATTCTTAAAAAAAATTAATTTTATTCATTTATGTACATAAGAACTGGGGTGTAGGCCAGAGGTTCAGGGAGACGATTCACCAGAGAAAGAGTAGGGAACAGAACAGACAGATCCACTGAAATACACTGCTGAGGGGAGCAGCAAGTGAGAGGAGAGGTCTGTTGCGCCATGTGGGTCAGCTCAGTGAGTGGGGTTGAACTAGTGCTGCAGTGGCTGCAATAGCTTGATAGCAGTGACTTTAACCCTGCACCATCAGGGAGGGCCTAGGTAAAATTCTTCACTATGAGAAATTCTTCACTATAAAATTCTTCACTATGAGAGAAATACTGAGCTAAACTAAAGACAATATATACTGTGAGGGGGCAAATCCAACTTCTTTTCCCATTGAAGGTCTTTACTTAGTAAATATGTCAGTGGTTGAAGTTCTACTCCTTTGGGAATATTATTTAACTTAACTTACCTGAAATGTTAGGAGTGAGGACTCTTGTATGGTCTGAATCCCCACCATTTAGAGATGGTCTGAAAGGAAAAAACCCCTGTCCCGAGGAGGCAGATGGTCTAAGAAGGGAAAACAAAAGCATCAGCAGAGGGAAGGACAGGTAGAGGTAAAGAGCATACATAAAGGAAAAGCCTATACTTGTATGGCACAGTGGAAATAAATTCCCTACTAGCAACTGGAAGTAAATAACTTAAATGTCTTAGACAGTGTTCTTCAACTTCCTCATTTTTTTACAGGTAGAGGATAAACTTCATTAGTATAGGTTCTACGGCTTATGGCAGAGTGCTGGTGTGAACAGATCCCAAGTGAAAGGAAGCATGGAATAACCTACCTGTAAGATAGGTTGTAAGAAGATGCTGGTGAAGGAGTTTCTGAAAAGCATAAAAATCATGTGAGATAATACACTAACTGGAGAAGCACTCAGATATACTAGGAGCCAGGGCAAAGAAACTGAGTGTTTGAACATTTTTATATTGTTTATATTATATACACATGTAGTATACATATAATATTGTATATGTTAGGTATTTAGAAAAAAAACCTCACAATTCACCTAGCAGCATCTCAAAGGTGCTTCCATCTCCATTTCATGAGTCTGTGGGCCTGGACCCATTACTGCCTTAATGTGCTCTAATTTATCTGTGCCTTTTTCTAAGAAGATTATTAGGAAGAATGGCTAAAGACAGTCATTAAACTCACTAAGAGTGACATCAGACAAACTATAGAAAAAGTTACTGTTACTATAGAAAAAGTTCAAAATTAAAGAGAAAAATAGACAATTCACCAATAATAGTTGGAGACTTCAATTTCCCACTTTCATAATGGAAAAAACAACTAAGACAGAAAACCAGCAATGAAACAGAACATTTGAATGACACTACATACCAACTAACTCTAACAGTCATCTATAGAACAATCTACCCAAAATAGCAGAACACATATTCTTCTAAAGTGTACACAGAACAATGCCAAGAATAGACCATCTGTTAAGGCATACACTTTCAAATATTTCAGTCATACAAACTATTTTGTTTAACCACAATAAAATAAAATTTAAAAAATTCAAAATCAGTAATGGTAGGAACTTGGGAAATTCACAAATACATGGATATTAATCAATACTCTGCTAAATAACCAGTAGGTCAAAGAAAAATCATGACAGATGTTAGAAAATACTTTGAGATGAATTAAAACAAAATTACAATATAGGAAACATAAGACTCCTCAAAAAACAGTGCTTAGAGCAAAAGCATTGCCATTTATACTGGCAAAAAAACAAAGCAGATCTAAATCAATAATTAAACCTTCCACCTTATTAAACTTACAAAAATGAATGAAACCCAAAATAAATTAATGGGAAAAAAATCAGAGAAGAAATGAATGAAGCAGAGGAAAAAAATACAGAAAATTCGAAAATCTAAAAGTTGGTTCTTTGAATTGATCCAAGGCAAAAGCAGACTTAGTAAGACTAGGAACAAACAAGATATTATTTCTATTAATCTATCAGAAATAAAGTGACCAGAACATCGACATTTTTCAAAGAGGTGGCTATGGAAGAATTTGAGAAAATTATTTGGGGAAAACTGACTAACGAGGAAAAGATCTGTGAACTTCAAAACAGCCTTTTGCTAAAGAAAAAAAATGCTCTCTAAGAAGTATTCTTTGAACTAGCTAATCCCCTTGAAAATAATAACAGGAATAATTCTAAGGGACAAGAATTAAGTAGATAGAGCCAAACTATTTCATCAGAATATTTTTATGTTTAATTCACACTGAGGAAGAGAGACCTTCAAAATTCAAAATAACCAGCATCAAATTAACCTTCCTTTTAGTCTTAGCTTGCACTGCCACCTTGTGGCAATTAAAAATTTTCAAATTCATTAAAAAATATATTTATTATACAGGATGGTTTCACTCATAGCAGGAGTATAAAGGACCAAGCCAGGATATAATAATAATGAATAACTACATACCAGACATTTTATGGGGGTGTAATGGGAAATGGGATCAAAAACAGTGGAGAGGGAAGTGCACTGGATCATGGTGATGGCACAGGGTGATTTGGTAATAGGAAGCCCACGGGGATTACAACTGAGATGGAAAAAGGCACAAAATGATGTAAAAATAAACTGTTATATTATTTTAAAAGTGAAAAAAATATTTATGCATAAAAGAACTGGGGTACAGGCCAGAGGTTGGGGGTGGTAAGAGGACTCATCAGAGACAAAATGGGAAGCAAAAAAGGCAGATGTACTAAAAATACACTGCAGAGAGGAGCAGCAGGTGAGACAGGAGAGGTCGGCTGTGCTTTAAACCCATTGTGCCACCACAATGGGAAGAACAACAATGTGCTTTAATGTGTAGATATAGAGAAACAGCAAGGGAGGGCCCCATTTTTTAAAAAGATTTATTTATTTATGCATACCAGAACTGGGGTATAGACCAGAGAAGGGGGATGAGAAGATTCACGAGAGACAGAGTGGGGAACAGAGCTGGTGGACTGACTGAAGTATTCAGGAGAGAGGAGTAGCAGGAAAGACAGGAGAAGTCTGCTGTGCCATGTGGGTCACCTCCCTGGCTGGGAATCAAACTTGTGCAGCAGATAGCCTAATCCCTTGCGCCACCGAGAACCCCATGTCCACTATTCCAATTCAAAAGTTATCCTCTACTTCAAAACCAGAGGTTTTCAATAACTTTCTATTGCCCACATTTTCATTTTCCCTTTATCAGTTTGAGGACAGAAATATCATCACTTAAAAACCAATAATATATTGGTTACTTGGAATCACTGTCTGGGGGAGGAAATAAAGTAATGACCCTATACCCTGCAGAGAAACCCAGAAATCCGCTGGTATCTATACAGACTATGTTAATTCTGACACTTCTTTCTCCTCACCAGTAAAAGAATCTCTGGGAGTGTTCCTTCCCTGTAGGCCTCTGGATCCCTGGTGGAAAACAATAAAATTATTTCTCAATTTTATGGATTCCATTTTCCTTGCTGTTTCTCTATATCTACACATTAAAGCACATTGTTGTTCTCCCAAGTATCAACAGATACCCTAGTCCAAGAAGGATGCAGACTTGATTATTTCCAACATGAACACAGTGAACACTGTTAATTCAGTCCTTGGACACTTCCTTATTCTCCGTGTATGTTTCTAAATCAGGTCTGCACTGCCACCAGAAAACACAGCACATAAGTTAATTTATGCCAAAATCAATATAAATTTGTATTTTTGCCTTAAATATTTGCCTTAAATATTTTCTTTCATTTACCACTATAAACTTGTCTGGAAAGTAAACGTAAATATGACTTACTTGTCCCAAGCTACCAAAGCCAGCTACTCTAACAGGGATAGACTCCACTGAGGAGGAGCGACTGTAAAAAGTGAGACAAAAAGAAAAAAGTAAATCTGGGGTTAAACAGCTCCATGGATTTAAAGTGTCCTCAGTCCCTAAGTCAGCCACATCTAGGATTTTTTTTCATTTGCCAGCTTTAGTAGGCAATGTTGCTGTGTAGGCTTTCTACTCACCTGACCACTAGGCTGCTGTGCTGAGAGCTGGGTCGTGGAGTAACTGAAAGAAAACAAAGTGCAGTATGGGAAGCTACTACCACAGCATGCTCTGCTTTGCCTGTGGGTATCTAGTTATATGACCTTTCCGTATCAAACATAAGATTAGGAAAATGAAATTATAATTTTTGAAAGAAACCATCTTCTATATGAAAACAAGGATATTTATTCCTCTCACACAGATAGCTGGGTAAAAAAATGTCCCCTACCTGATTGTGATGGGGAAGTGATGCCCACTGGTCGAGGTGTGGTTAATCTGCAAGGTTAAAAAAAAAGAAGCACCATCTTAGGGGATCAATCAGATTATTATTTTTAAAAATAATAACTTCAGGTTATAGAAAGAACTTAAATTAGAGGGAAAATATTTTAAAAAATAAAATAGCGTCCTCTCAGCACAAGTTGCTTACTATCATGTATTTCACACATCACACAAAAATACAGAGGCAAAATTGACACAAAATCCCTTTGCTCTCCAATTCCCAAAATGAAACTTTCTCCCCCTCTACTGGCCATAACAAGTTCTGTGGTACACTCTTTTTTCCCTTTTCTCCGTGTCTATTCAAGTACTCTCAATGCTACATGTAAATAGCCATATGTTCATCCTTTCATACATCCACATGTCCTCACTCTTCATCCCCTCATCCATCTATCCAACACACATTTATTTAATACTCATATGTCCCAGGATCCTGAGATTGCAAACAAACTAGAATAGAGACAAAAATAATAAAGCAATATTTAATTGTTACAAATATGGGTGTATCAGAAGTAAGAAGGAACACAAAACTATAACATCTGTCATGAGGGGCTGTGTATTTTTTTTTAACCCACCAATACAGGGCTTACATTAAAAAATACTAAACAATTGGTAGGGAGAGATATTAGCAATTAGAAGAACTGATGTACATCAATTAAATGTATACCCACCTCCTAATATAGAACCTAATATAGAACCTGCTAAACAGCAGGTCACAAATAGTTATTGAATAAATGAATAGAACATCTAAATTTGTCTAATGAAGTCCTGACAGAGGAAATGCCAAGTGAGTTCAATTTTGAAAGATGTACGGGAGTTCACAAGGTGAAAGAGTGAACATTATATTCATAGCACTTTTCAGTGAGTAATTCTTTGAGAAGAGAAAGATAAATTCATGAAACATTTCCACCACCTCATAGCCCACACAGTAATTGTCAAGAAATTTGCAAGGAGCGCTAGTATGAGGCCTGATAAAACTGACCTGCTTCCTTGGTAATGACTTGGAGATTCCTGTAGGTGAAAAAAAAATCAGGAATAAAGGAAGCTGCAGCTCAAAGGTACCAACCAACATCCTCTTACTTGTTAGATAACTAATCTATAGTGTCCTCTTAGTTGTAGTCACTAAGATTCCCAATAGGAGAAAAAAAAAAATAGTGATAATGTCTCCTTAGGAAATAACCAGCTTTTGGGGGATAAAATTTTTATTCCTTTTCATAAAAATTGGGAATCTTGTAAACTGATATGTAGAGAAATATGGAGAATCTATGGGAGTAAAAAGGAAAATGACAGAATTATGATACATAGGAATAGTATCAATAGAAAAATTATACAAAAACAAAGATCATTTTTAGGAAATGTCTAGGAAATAGTTTTAAGGAGAGGAGTTTTGGGATTCTTGAAGAGAAATTTTAAGCAACAACAGAGGTCTCTTCTGTAAGTGTCCTGAGTGGTACATAGTGACTCAACACAGATGTCAAGAACAGGTTACCAGTGTGCAAAATATTGATCCTCTCAGACTTCATTCTATGGCTTCATTTATTTACTACATTACACCTGTTGTACAAATATAATCAGTTTCTATAGGTCCATGATGTAACACTATTCTCTACAGTAACTAGATAGATGGGAAAAGTAGGAGGAAACATTACACAAGGAAAAACTATTTTATTCACCTTTAAGAAGGCTAGAAATTTCTTCAGTTCTTCATTCTCCTTCCTTAAGGCCGACAGTTCTCTAGGCAAAAGATGGAAGCAATCAGCCTTAGATCAGTGGTATTTAAAAAAAAAAAAAAAAACCTGATTTTTATTGTTATTGACATTTACTTAATGTTTATGGAAAGATAAACATATATATGTCGTTTATGCCGTGACACAAGATATTTCTGTAGGTATCTAGTGATTCAGAGGGACAGAGCAGAGTTTTCATGATAAGAACCAGGTGAACAAAATAAGTAGACCTTGGTATGTTGTTAGGGCATAATACATAGAATTCACTTGCTTCTCCACATATACCCCGATGCCTAAAACTTCTATCAAGGGTTCCACTTTTTTGCTTAAGATTTCCAAAATAGGGCCCTTCCTGGTGGCTCAGCAGGTTAAAGTACAGCACTAAGAAGCTAAAGCCACTTCAGCATGAGTTCCCCAGTCCCGGAGGTGACCTCATGGTGCAGCAGACCTCTCCTGACTGCCCACTGTTCCCTTTAGCAGTGTACTTTGTCAGTCAGCCTGTTCTGCTCCCCGCTCTGTCTCTGGTGAATCCTCTCACCACCCCTGCACCTTGGCCTATACCCCAGCTCTGTGTGCACAAATAAATAAATCTTTAAAAAAAAAAAATTCCAAAATAAACCCTTCCAGTAGTAACACATTAAAGGCTCTCTCTCGGGCCCTCCCTGGTGGCTTAGTGGGTTAAAGCGTTGTACTAAGAAGTTAAAGTCACTTCCACATGAGTTCGATTCCCGCCTGCCCCGGAGGTGACCACATGACACGACAGACCTCTCCTGACCCTCCCGCTTCTCCCCTCAGCAGTACACGTTATATATCTGCCCGTTCTGCTCCCCACTCTGTCTCTGGTGAACCCTCTCGCTGCCCCTGCACCTCTGGCCTGTATCCCAGTTCTGTATGCACAAATAAATAAATCTTTAAAAAAAAATGTTCTCTCTCATCTTTATCAATATGAGTAAGCTTTCTGGTTTCTCAGACAATTTTTGTAAGTAGACATTATAAAGTAGGGTTCCTTGAGGGAAAACAGAGAAAAAGAAAATGGAGATTGAGATCAACAAAACTCTGAGTCACCCACAAAACCACATAAAGGGAATAATTTCAAGCACTGTCACCACAGAAAATGAAGGTTACAGCTTCTGTGAAAGGATAAAAGCTCCTGGTGACTTGATTTGTCACTTACTTGTCCTGTCTGGTCACTGTTTGCTGTGCCTCCTGCAGAGCTGCTTCTAATTTTGTGATTCTATGCTTATAAAAGTTGATGAGAAGATCTGTTTGTTTCTTCTGAAAACACCATACCTGCAGGAGAAAACAGGCTTTTGATATATGCCCCTAAACTCCTTACCTCTAACTTCTGGCAACAAAGAGAAGCCTACTTATTCATACTTTATTGTTGATCATTTATTTATTTATTTATTTTTAAATTAAAAAAAAAAAAAAGTATTTATTTATGTGTACAGAACTGGGTACAGGCCAGAGGAGTGTTGGGTGAGAAGATTCACCAGAGACAGAGTGGGGAGCAGAACAGGCAAATTGCCAAAGTATAGTGCTGGCATGGCAGACCTGCTGTTTACCAGCCGTTCTCCTCAGCAGTGCAGCAGGTGGGTCATGAGAGGGAGGTCTGCCGTGCCATGTGGTTGAACTCCTTGCTGGGAGAATCGAACTCGTGCTGCAGTGTCTTCAGAGAGCTTCATAATGCAGTGCTTTAACCTGTTGCACCACCAGGGGCTCAATGATGAGCCCCATCATTGATCATTTTTGATCACAACTCCCTAAAACTAGAGGGGGTTTCGAGGAAGAATGAGGAATTGAGATCAAAGGTGAGAGGGAGGGCCCAATGGAATATGGGGAAGGGTTTTGGGTCCCTTAGTGGTGGAAATGGTATGGTAACATATCTAAAGAGGTATGAACTTACAACTTTAAATCATAAACATTAAATAAATTTTTGAAAACCAACATTACCTCAATAAAAAATAATACAATTTTGGGGCCTCCCTAGTGGTGCAGGGGTTAAACACCATGCTATCAAGCTATTGTCAGCCACTGTAGCACAAGTTTGACAACCTGGCAGGGTAGGGAGCTCAACCACATGGCATGGCAGACCTGCTGTTTACCAGCCGCTCTCCTCAGCAGTGTACTTCAGTCAAACTGCCTGTCTCTGGTGACTCCTCTCAATCCCTGCATTTCTGGCTTACTCCTCAGATCTTGTATACATAAATACATATATCTTTAAAAAATACAATACAGTCTGAAAAAAAGAAGAGAACAAAACTAGAGGATTTGGCACAGGGAAAAGCCGGTATTTTTCACTCTGGGACAATAGCTTGCTAATACCTTAATAATAAAATATTTTGACATAGTAGTTAAAGCACAGCACTAAGAAGTTAAAGCCACATCAGCATGAGTTCGATCTCCACCAGCCCCAGAGGTGACCCACATGGCGTGGCAGACCTCTCCTGACCTGCCCACTGCTCCCCTCAGCACTGTACTTGTCAATCAGCCTGTTCTGCTCCCCACTCTGTCTCTGGTGAATCCTCTCACTGCCCCTGCACCTCTAGCCTGTACCCCAGTTCTGTATGCATAAATAAATAAATCTTTAAAAATATAATATATAATCTTTCATCTTGAGCCAGCCGAGTGACATCCAAAAAACATTTCCAAGTTTAGAATGTATTTTGATCTAAATTTGCTATTAGTATGGAATGAACTTTCAAATTTATAGCTATTAAAGATCATTGGCAACCAATTTACTTTCCTTAAGTTATTCACACTGAGACAATTATACTGCTATGATAATAGGAGAAGAGTCACAGAAAAAAGAATTTTATCCCTACATTTTATTTTGGCTTGGATAAATCATCTTATATTTTGCTTTACTTTACTTTGATGTGTTTATCATGGGATTAATGTGCCTATCATGGGATTAATGAATCAGATAAAAAGTTAATATTTAGAAAGTGCTTTTAGCTTTGCCAGGGTCTACTTTTGAATACACAGCAGTACTGATGTCTCATCTGCTTCCTTAGACTATAACCCTCTTGTCTAAGGTCATTTCCTAGATCTTAGTATTTGTGTCATAAACTTTTTGTTCTTACCTAATTTTCAAGTTGCTTTTACCACCTTTCTATAGAATTATACTTAAGAGTTTATATAGTCTCTAGCTTTTCTTTTTTACTCAAAAGCAAACTAAGTTAGCTTTAGATAGTAAGAATACATTGTATTTTATTTTTCAAAAAAAAGTTGCTATTTCACTAAAAGTAAATAAGTTATGTTCATATTAGAAAATCTGAAGAGAACCAGAAGCATAAAGCAGTCACCCTGAATCCTGGGAGTTACCAAAAATAGCAGGAGAGGGGAGGTTAGGGAGAAATAGGTATTATAGATTAATATAAGATATAGCCAAGAGATAAGATTCCAAATATCCTAACCTACTCATTGGGTCAGTCTTATGTGCAATTAAGTTAATACTGGTGTACGGGTCAGAAAACCAAATCCTGTCCTAGACTTATTACTCTTCCTTTTGAGATCACCAAGGGCCATACATGCACAAGGAATAGACTCTATACTCTGGAAATCCAGGGAACCACATGAGATTATTGGAGGGCCTTTTACCTTGGCCTGTTTTGCCTTACCACACATCTCAGATCTGACCATTTTTAAAAAATATCAACCTAGAAAACCACTAGCACAACGTGTTAGAGGAGAGCAAGAAATGATTTTGCTTATGCTAGAGTATAAGTTTTTAGTCTATTTCAAATATATCTACCAAAGAAGAGTCTAAAACCTCAATCAGTAATGAATCTCAGCTTTTAAAAAAATTTCAAGTGTTAGCAAGTCCAATACTCTGTCTCAGTGAAATCCTTCGGCCTCATTAAAGAAAAACAAAGTTGGCCTTTTTTTGTTTTCCCCTAAAGGAAAACATTATTATTTTAGAATGACATGGTCACACTTAAGAGGAGTTGAGGGCCTCTCTGGTGGCACTGGGGTTAAGGTCTCAGTGCTATCAAGCAACTGCCAGCCACTGCAGCATGAGCTCAATCCATAGCCAGCAAAGCAGACCTCACCTGTCTCCCCAGTTCTCCCTAAAGAGTGTATTTCAGTAGCTTTGCCTGTTTTGCTCCCGTCTCTGTTTCTAGTGAATCCTCTTATACCACTGCCCCCTGCACTTCTGACCTAGACCCCAGTTCTTGTGTGTATAATAAAATAAAGTTTTCCTGCTAAACATGGAGCTTCCCTACGACCCAGCAATCCCATTCCTAGGTATCTACCCAAAAGACACAAAAACACTGATTAAAAAGATATTTGCACCCCCATGTTTATTGCTGCTTTATTTACAATTGGAAAAACATGGAAGCAGCCCAAATGCCCAAAAGTAGATGACTGGATTAGAAAGATGTGGTACATATATACAATGGAATATTACTCAGCAACCAAAAGAGAAACACATGTCTTTTGCAGCAACTTGTATGGAGCTGGAAAAGATCATGCTTAGTGAGATAAGCCAGAAAGAGAAAGAAAAATACGGGATGGTTTCACTCATAGCAGGAGTATAATGGACCAGGCAAGAAAATAACAAGAATAATGAACAGCCATATACCAGAGACATTTTGTGGGGGTGGAGTGGAGAATAGGATCAAAAACGGGGGGTGGGGAGGGTGGGGAGGGAAGTGCATGGGATTATGGTGATGGCACACGGGTGACTTGGTGATGGGAAACCCGTGGGGATTACAATTGAGGTCGAAAAAAAAATGTACAAAATGATGTAAAAATAAACTGTTATAAAAAAAAAGAAAAAAAAGTTTTCATCTTTTAGAAATACACTTTGAAATTACAAAACATCTGGTCTGGTTTCAAAATAATCTTGATGCCGTAAAGGAAATGTAGATGAAGGAAGACTGATCATGAGTTGATAACTATTCAGACAAGGTGATGATTAGATGGAATTGGAAATGCTAAGAGGAGATGGTCCCAATAAAATGGACAAATATATGAAATCATTTACCTGTTAAAGGACTTGTTAACTAGAATATATATAAGAACTCCTATAACAAGTAACAAAGGCAATCCAATTTAAATATGGGCAGGGGCCCTCCCTGAAGGCACAATGGATTAAAGCACTATGATGCTATCCGCAGCCACTGCAGCACAAGTTTGATTCCCGGCCAGGGGGTGACCCACATGGTGCAGCAGACCTCTCCTGTCCAGCCCAATGGTCCCCTCAGCAGTGTATTTCAGTCAATCTGACTGTTCTACTCCCCACTCTGTCTTTGGTGGGTCCTCTCACCTCCTACACCTCTGGCCTATATCCCAGTTCTTGTATGCATAAATAAATAAATATTTTTTTTAAATAAAATAAAAATGGGCAAAGAAGGACCCTCCTTGCTGGTGCACTGGGTTAAAGCACAGTTCAGCATGAGTTCAATTCCCAGTTAGGGAAGTGACCCACATGGTGCGACAGACCTCCCCTGACCCCCCGCTGCTACCCTCAGCAGTGTTCTTTGTTGAGCTGCCTGTTCTGTACACAGCGCTGTCTCTGGTGAATGTTCTCACCACCCTTGCACCTCTGGCTTGCACCCCAGTTCTGTATGCATAAGTAAATAAAATCTTTAAAAGAAAAATAGTTTCACTGTGCAGAAGATTTAAAATAAAAGAATGACTGCCAGGAACTTCAGTCTTCAGAGAGTGGAAGTAAGGCACTCTGGGCACAGAGGCATGAAACTTGATGGCATAGAAAAAAGAAATGTAAAGAATTAAATCCACACTATAAGTTAGGTAATAACCCACATAAAGGCTTACATTGGTAAAATATGAAGTGGTAGTTGTAGACAAGATTGGGGAGGTTAGAACCAGATCATTAAGGGAACGAGGCGTCACTCTGAAGAGTCTGCAACTTAGGCAATGGGAAACCACCAAAGGATTTTGAAAAGGCAGTTAAGTGTTCAGATTTGTAACTGAAATTATTGTTGTGGTACTCAGAGACAATTGGTTAAAGCAAAAAAGAACCTAAAAATGCTTATCAAAATCAATTGCAGGATTGTTTATCATATGTTAGAGGCACCAATTCTGAATTAGAGCGCCATAGGACCCCTCTAGGTAGGGATCTAAGTTCTAGGGTGCAACAGTGTGTGATCAAAGTACTATGGCCTTTCATACTGGTGTAATAAAGCTCCTCAACTCCCTTCTAGGTAGCAATAAAGAAGACAACTATACTATTTCAAAAGTCCTAAAATATTGACAGATTGGCCTTTTCTTTTCAGACTAAATAATTTTAGACTAATAAAATCTCTCTTCAAAGGTACCACTGAATTTCTCAGTTTAATTTTTTAATTTAAGTGAGGGATGAAAATCTGTTTTAGTCTATTGATGAGATCAGGTCTCCCCAGCCGTATGGGTCACTCCCTGGCTAGGAATCAAACTTGCACTACGATGGCTTCAGAAAGCTTCTTATAACTGGCTACAGACCAGAGGTGGGGGTGGTGAGAGAATTCACCAGAGACAGAATAGGAAGCAGAACAGGCAGATGTTCTGAAATGCACAGCTGAGAGGAGCAGCAGGCGGGTCAGGAGAGGTCTGCCACACCATGTGGGTCACCCGCCTGGCCTGGGATTGAACTTGTACTGCAGTGGTGCTGTGAACCACCAGGGATGGCCCAATTCTTCTTTAATTCTATGTTGGACAAAGCTATTTTCTTGCTTAAAACCCTTCAAAGGTGTCCCACTGCACTGATATGAACCTCAAATTCCTTTATCATGGCTTACAGGTCCCTGTATGATTAAGCCTTTCTCCCTGATCTTTTTCCTCATTCTTTCTTCTTTCCCAACTTTAATGTACATTTATTCATTTTAACAAACATTTCATTTTTTTAAATAAACATTTCTTATAATTTGTACTACATCTAGTTAGGTGTTGGAGCACACAAACATAATAATCTGCCTTTGAAAAACTTGGTTTAGAGAAAGAAAGATACAAATGAATAAACTTCAAAACTTTTTCCAAGTTAAGTTACAGACTTAGCTTTTACAGATAAGAACAAAGTAGGAGGCCCTCACTGTGGCACAATGGGATAAAGTGTAGCACTAGGAAGTGATCCATCGCCACTGCAGCACAAGTTCCATTTCCAGCCAGGGGAAGTTACTCACATGGCGCAGCAGACCTCTCCTGACCCGCCTGCTGTGTATTTCAGTACATCAGCCTGTTTCGCCCCCCCACCCTAGTGAATCCTCTCCCCGCCCTCACCTCTGGCCTATACCCCAGTTCTTGTATGCATAGATAAATATCTTTTAAAATATTTTATATATATAAAGAACAAAGTAGGATAGAAATACAAACAACAGAGTAAAAACCTGCATATAGGAATAAAGAAGGGTTTACCAAAGAAGGAAAAATTAGAAGCATATATTTGAAAAACAGTTATGACAAAGCAAGAAGAAAGCAAAAGGTCCATATGGCACTCTCTAATCTCCAAACAAGTTTAGAAAAACCACCTAGAGGTCAGAGAAGAATTCAAAATGGGCAACTTGGCAACTATCGATCATCAAGTAACAGAACAGAAAAATGCCATTTTCAGATTATTACAGAGATAAAGGATTACGTGGAATATTAGGTCAACATTTCTCTTAGTTACACAACATTTTGGGGGGAATATCCTCTATATATTGAGAACTAGCCAAAGAGCTAGGTATCTAATAAACAAAACTGACTGCATCCCTGCCTTTACCCTACATTTCAGCATAGGATTTAGATAAATAAATAGGAAATGCTAGAGAAAAGAATTATGATGAAAAATAAAGCTAGGTAAGAAGTAGAAGATGTTGGAGTTACTATTTGAGATGAGAGTCAGTAAAGGTCTGGCTAATAAAGAAAATCTGAGCAGAAGCCTAGATGCATTGATGCAGATATTACTTGGATCAGTTATTCATCTTCACATACTAGAAAAACACATTTTCAGACATTGCTGACTTCACCAAACTGGCTCTTCACGAAAGTGATGATTAACTGGCCCTTTCCATTTATTTTATCTTGAGTATTTGGCCATGTGTAAGTGGTCCCATGATCAGGCAGGTTAGGATTCAGACTACATATAACTTCTTTACTGATCATTAACTAACACTGAGTTTAGTTATTAACCCTGGGTCTGCTCTTTTACTTGTTCATATGACCTTGTTTACATTTCTCCTTAAGTCTGAGCTGAATTTTATCTCCCCATAATGTTAAATAGTATCTCAAATATGATGGCTCACCCAGGCAACTAAAACCAGGATGCAGCCAAAGCATTCTTTAATTCCCCTTCCTCTATCTGCACAGTTCAGATTTAGATGTGAGACACCAAATAAGAGTTAAATCTACTGTCTTGGACCAAAACATGCCTAAGTATCATCTTCATGTTTAGGAACGGAATACTCTCATAAGAACGTGAATTAAGAGTACAGAAGCAGGGCCCTCTCTGGTGGTGCAACCAGTTAAAGCGCAGCACTACAGAGCTAGCCACAAACACTGCCGCATGAGTTCAATCCCAGGGAGCTGACCCACATGGCACAGCAAACTTCCAACTGTCTTGCTGCTGCTCCCCTCAGCAGTGTACTTCAGTCAATCTGCCTGTTCTGCTAACCACTCTGTCTCTAGTGAATCCTCTCACCTCATCCCTTGCACCTCTCTCCTGTACCCCAGTTCTTGTATACATAAACTAAATAAATCTTAAAAAAAAAAAAAAAGTACAGAAGCAAAACTGTGACAAAAATCTCAAGAAACAAGCCAATATTCTATGAGGCTCTGAAATCGTTAGAAGTGGAGAATGAAAGGCAAAAAACAAAGTTGCTATGAAATGAGAATGTTCTCATTTGGCTGTCCTGCCTTTTCTTCACCTCCTTACACATTCCTGTTGTTCTTGGCCAAGTCAGGTATGCCAACATATGGGATGATGTTCCAAGAAAATAAAAATATTTGCTGAGTTCACACAACCAATTGTGAATCATTAAGAATTAAATATACATGTATTACTAAGAAGGGTTATTAAAAATGAGAATAGGTAACAAAAAATCCTTTCATGAACTTACATTTATAAGCAAAAGACTGAATTAAATCTTTGTTCCCATTGTTTGCATGATCAGACATATATATTCAAACAAATTTTAAAAGACCCATTAAACCACACTGAAAAATAATGCTCCCTAAAACTTGCCTTATGCTTAAAAATTACTCAATAGAGTGTGAAAAATTACTTAATAGAGTGTGGAAATATAAGGCAAGATGTCAGTTACATAGTGGTTTTTACAGCCTATCACAGGTCTAAGTCACTAAAAACTTAACTGATGAGATCTGTATCATGAGAGAAGAAAGCAAACAGAATATTCAATTATTGTTTTCTCCATTGTGTACAATGCAGCCTAAAGAGAACATTTAATAAAGAAAGCAGATGAGTTAGAATTTGTCTGCATCAGACCTTCCAGTTTAAAAGGAAGTTGAGTCTGTTTTGCCTATCAAGAAGTTATATAAGCATATTGTGGCTATGTGTAAATTATAGTCATTTAAAGTAAGATATGTTGCCAAGTTCCCTCTGTAGAAAATTTACCTTTTTTCCAAAATTTTAAAATTCAGACATCAGCCTTTGCACTCAGGAGGGTTTTGCTCAGCCTGAGTAAGCAAGGTAAAATAAATGATCCAATGTAACTTTTTTTTTTTCTCTCCTTTGAATTACAAGTTGAGTTTTCACTTAAGGCTTACAACTATTTCCTAGTTGTAAAGTTATGAAATCATAAATGCCAATACTCTAAGGTATTTTCCTAGACCTTCCCTGATAGGGTTTTATTGCTCAATTTGTACAAATAATTATACCAAAAAAAATAATAATAACCTGTCTGGAGAATCAGATTTTCTTCACTATAGTTTCTCATACCTGAGAGATGTGACTAAAATATTGCAGAGCTGTCTCCACAGGACTTTTGAAGTATTTCTTCTCCTGAGGTTTCAGCTACAAAAAGAGGACAGACGCTGAGCATAAATATACAATGAAATGAAACAAAATACTGGCAGATATGGCAAAGGATGTCCATACACTTTCTAAAGCACCTGGTATTCTATCAAGCCAGTGCAACCATGTTTGATCCCCAACATGGCAGGGAGCTAACCCACATGGTGCAGCAGACCTCTCCTATTTCAGTGAATCTGCCTATTCTGTTCCCCACTTTCTCTGGTGACTCTTCTAACCCCCCTGCAAACTGCTGGCCTTCACCCCAGTTCTTGTATGTATAAATAAATCTTTTTGAATAAATAAATAAAATAAATAAAGCACCTAGTATTATTTCCACTGTGCTAAATTAAGAGGTGATCACCACTGCGCTAGGAAATACAAATTATATATCCTAATACTTCTAATCTTCACTTCAGCCACAGGAGCCACAAATAATTTTTTGACCTATCATTTATCTTACTTATCTTATTTTGATAACTGTTATCTGTGAGTTTTAAAATTTTTCTTCTTTCTTAAAAAAATCAGTACTTAGTTACCATCAACTACACTCTTTGTCTATTTCTTACAGGCCAGAATGGGATAAGATGGTTTGTGGCAGGAAGAAAAAAACTTACATTATCAGAAAGAGCCAGATGTTTGCATGCAGTTCCACAAACAGCACATTTTTCTGGAGAGAAAGAGAAAAAAACATTTGATTTTCATGGATATAAGGTGAGATATTTCTAAAGACTACAGTATTAGTCATGTAAAATGTAAAGAAAAGAGGATTCTTAATGAATTTGGAACATCATTGTGCTTATATAAGGACTTCAACTTAAGCTCTGGTCTCTAAATCAGTATTTGCAAACAGGATGATGACAAGTAAGGCTTTTTACATTGTACCCGCTACCCTCCCCTATCCCATTTTTCCAATTCTCAATTTTCTTTTGCAGGTGAGGGGCAATTCTAAATTCCTCACTGGAGTACTGGGAAGAGTACAAAGTACTGATGATGTCAATTTTAAGTTACTCTTTCTCAACCTAGCTACTTGACTGAAAGCACACATTAGAGACTATAAGGAACTCTCCAATCGTTCCTGCCTTGTTCTCACTTTGCTAATTTTCTTGATCTTGCTTTGAAGCTGTACTATTCCTGTTCTCTTGCCTAATATGAAAGGTGCAAAAATTAAAATTGTTAATCTTTTCATCTAAGTTGAATTTTAAGTAGTGGTGCTAGTCATTGATTAAGATAAATGCCATGTCAGGAAAAAACATCACATGACATATGTTTGAGAGACAAACTACTCCAAAGTGAGCTGCTGTTACCATAGAAAACTGCCTTGTTACATTAGCAGAGAACTTAAATGGGTCATGAGATTCATATAAAGAAAAAAGCTTCTCCAGAGACTACCTAACCTGACCCTTCTCTCCTTGGGGAATGGAAGGTTTTTCTCAGTGTACTTTCCATATTACCACCTGAGTGAGATGGCAAGTGCAAATCATTCTATGATTTAAAAAAAAAAAAAAAGCTTTCACATTCTTCATCACTAACATGATAAAGCTGAGGTTCTGTAGCCTGAGACACACAACAGCCTTTCATCATCTGACCACTACCTACCTCTCCAGTCTCATCTTTCACCATTTCCATTTTATTCTTTATTTTCTACCAATCCCAATCATATGTAATCCCTTGCACTATGGTGTCATGGTGTAATGAGCCCTTATATATGCCATTCTCTTAAAATAGAATAATATTCCCTGTACTATCCACTTGGAAAAATAAGTTTCCTATTCAAAATTCTATTGAAGTAGTACCTTTTTTGTGATGTCTCCCCTAAACAAAGCATCTAATCTTAAATTACTCTTCTGGGGTATTTTTATACCCTGTAAATAGTTTAGCATTATAGACAAATATCTGGGGGAAGTATTTTTACTAAGTCCCTCATTTTTATGGCTTAAAGCTGCACTTAACCATCTAAAG